CTGTTTTTATCTGCTTTGTTTTAGGAGCCTCTGAGTCTGCTCATGGAAAACTGAAAGGTGATGTGGTCAACCCTGCTCATGTCCACTCAGACCAACACAGTTGTTTTTGTGGAAACCTTATGGTGCCCAGTGGCAGTCTGCCAGCACCAGCCCCTGCAGCTGGGCTGCAGTGTGTCCAGATCCCTGTTCTGCAGGTAGGAACCATGCAGATATTGAGGTCTGCAGGGGCAGGATGGTGGAGGGGTGGCCACTGCCCTCTCAGTAAACTGCCCCAAGTCCCATATCCTGTCCCAGCCATCTTAATAACCCCAGCCTCTCTCTTCTTCCCAGCCTGTCTCACTGCATCTGTGCAAGCCCTTGCCTTTGTTAGGACTGACGTATCAGGTTTGTGGCACTGTGTTACCCTGTGTCTAGTCCCCTCAACCTGGTCCATCTTCCCCACATCCCTTGGAGGTGCACATGGCTTGTGCCCCGTCCTGCCAAGGCCTGCTTGGGACCATTATGTGCAGGCTAGAGGCATCTGAGACTCCCAGACTGACCCTGTGTAAGCCTCACAGCTGCTGTTTTATCCATGCTGCCCCACCTCTACCCAGACTCTCCCATAAGCTCTCCTTAGACTGATCTGCCCAAGCTTCTGGGCACCACTCCCGCACACCAGCTGCTGCAGGCTCTCATGTGAAAGTGGTGGGGCCTCCTGAATTTTCTGCTTTCTCTTTGGGTTCTGCCACCTGTTTGGAGGCTCGGCAGACCTATATTTGACAACCATCTATGGGAGCTCACTTCTAAGTCCCTCAGCAATCCCATACATACCTGCACTCCCAGGATGACCTCTGAGGAGGTAGAATGGGGAAAGAAGGGGTTTGGAAGCTGAGGGAATCTGACTGTATTCTGACCCAGTCACACACACACCTACATGTTGCATACCACTCAGGGCTACAGATAAAACTTCAAGATGCCAGTGCAAACCTAGATGTCAGAGACTGAGGGTGGAGCTGTCCCTGTTACTTCAGAGAACTTAGAGACAGGCAAGGTTCACCATGAAGGAAAGAGGTGGGACCAGGATAGAAGGCTTGCAAAGGGCCTGCACGCAGATAAATGAGGGCGTGAGGTTGGCAAAGGCTGACCTGGGAAATAGGCAGTGAAAGGGTTCTAGACCAAAAAAGATGTTGAGGGTTTGATGGGCGGAGACTTGGACTTATGTGTAAAATGGTCTTAAAATCATGCTCCTTCTTCCTTCTTTGACCCAATGGTAGAACAGTTTGAAACTGTGGAAGAGATCAAGGACTCCCTAGAGATAGGGACAGTGAAAGAAGTGGGGGGGTTTGTCCCAAAGAAGCACAGCCACAGTGTGCAGGTCAGCTTGCAGAAGGCACTCCAGAAAGCTGCCACCACAGGCAGAAAAAGAGGCCACTGGAAAGAACATGCACCTGGATATAAATCTTTCACCTGTCCGTTGACAGCTAGTGTTGTCTCGGGCAAGTGGCTTTAGCCTACAGCTTCAGTTTTGTCGTCATGAGATGGAAACAGTAGCACTTAGAAGGCCCTTGGGGCAGTGGAAGGATGAAGTGCATAAGCACAGCGTGCTCAATTTGGGGGTGGTAGGCAGCTGTAACTGATTGTGCACATGAGAAGGATAAACCATTATTCCCCGGCTTGCTTCTGGGACCTGGCAGCCTCCTCTTCTCGGGGAGCTGTCTGCTCTTGGGCCTCTTGTTCAGCCCATAGGAGCAGAGAGAAGGCCTCCCCGAGGGCTTGAGAAAGTACTAGGGCATCCATGCAGAATTTAGGACAGTGTAGGAAGAAAGGTGCTGTTGGGACTCAGGACAGTTTTTGAGTGTTGAAATAGTAAACATAGGGAGTCAGGCAGCAAAAGATTCCAGACTAAGCAGAATCTTGAGCTGGGTTTGAAGTGAGAGAGATGGAGGGGCCAGTGCCCCTGCTTCCTGATTACCAGTGTGTGATGGTTCTTGATGTTGTCTCCCTAGGATGACACCTCAGGTGAAGGAGGCTTGCCACTGGCCCTCAGCCCGCAGCGCTCTGCCTTCCACCCCTATTTCACCGTGGATCTGCCTGTCTACGTCCTCCAGGTCTGGGTGCCTACTGCTCTTGCTCCTCTCATTAAATTTCATCACAGGTTTCCCATGTCAGAAGGCTATGGCGTGGGTTAGCAGCTGCCATAGACCTGCCCTGGAGGCACATTGGGTTGGTGATCAGGCGAGCTACCATGTACTTTTTGAAAAGTTAGTCAGGGTAACAGCTTTAAATAAGTTTTGGTTGACACTGCAGTGTCTGCTTGTAGACCGGATGAAACCTAGTGTGCCTGTGACCACTGCACACTCCAGTTCTAAATTCTCCATGAATGATCTGTACCCAGATGAATTCAATAGCTGTGTAGGTGAGTGGTTAAGCTCAGAGTAGGTAGCCACCAATGTAGCTCTAGGTGTGAAAGAAAGTCACTTGTCAGGCTGCCAGCCTACCTCAGAAATGTCAATTCTGCTGTCCTAAGCCCCTCAGAAGACTGTTCCTAAAGAAAGGAAATCTGAGCCAGATGTGACAGACATAGGTGACACCCAGTTATCAGGAGACAGAGTTTGGAGAACTGCAAATTTGAGGCCACTTGGACCACATAGCAAGAATCTGTCTATAAAAAAACACAGAAAAGGAGGGAAGATATGGGGTGGTGAGGAATAGAGCAAGAGGCAATGAGGGAGGGAAGGTGAGTTACAAACTACTGGTGACCTGAGACCTGCCCACTTCAGCATGGGGTCTGCAATACCAAAGTAGGCGTGCTTAACCCTAGCAAGAGAGTGATGGGCACTACCATGGCCATCTCCCTGGTGGGGTAAAAGAAGAGATGGTCTTGGGTTTTGTTTTGTTTTTTACAGTAAAGTACATGGGTGCTTGAATGTGTTTACACCTAGGACCTAGGGGGAAAATCTTGAAAAACAATGGTTCCTTTTTTTTTTTTTTTTTTTTTTTTTTTTTCTTTTTTCTTGAGACAGGGTCTCCCTATGTAGCCCCGACTGACTGACTGGCCTGGAACTCACAGAAATCTGCCTATCTCTGTCTTCCTGTGCTGGGATCAAAAGAATGAGCCACCATACCTAGCACATTGTTCTCTAAAGGGGCATAGGATGTGAAATAGGTCTCTGCTGTGCCTTCCCCTTCTGTTTGCACTCCACCCCTCCTCACTTTTCTGCTTGGTTTTGCAGGAGGTGCTTCCAGCATCTGGAGGTTCTGCTGGACTAGAGGCTGCACAGGCACCAGGAAGCACTATCAACCTGCAGGACCTTCAGTGACAGCAGCTGAGCAAACAAGAAACATGTTCCAGGCTGCATTTCAAGACCTCAGATGACTGTGGTGTGGGCAGGGAGACCTTACTTGACTTCTACTCAGCAGTTGAGCCTAGTTTTTTGAGACTTTGGTGTACATTTATTCAAAGTGTTTTTCATTCTATTCCAGCAAGAGCTAATTTGGGCTGTGCTCTTTGACACTTCTTCCACAGTGTGCCCTCTGTGAGATAGGCACCATATCCATGTCATGTGGGTGCATTCCAGTCCTTTGCAGGTCCCCTTGGATCTGAGCTGGGTAGCACTTGTTACATTAAAAGATCCCTGCAGGAAGTGGGTTGTGCATGGCTCCCTGCTCAGGTCATCGCTGTATTAAGTCTGGACAGGGCCTTTGATTGCAGTGTGTTAGCATCTAGAAATCTGGTTCTTTTCTGAGAGCTTGTGTGACAGACTGCATCTCACCTCCTGGAATGGTGTTAGTGGATGTGTTGGTTTCACTACACTGTATGCCATGGTGAAGCGAAATTCAGGTTACACAGGCAGCTAGTCTGAAAGATGATTGGGGTGGCCTGGCACCCACTAGTGGCCTTCTAGAAGGCCCTCTTCCTAGACTGAAAATGTGGCTCATAGTTTGGCAATGAAGAGTTGAGACTTTTAAAGTCATTTTTCTAAATTCTGTATTTAGGATTCTTGGTAAATGTAACTCATCTTCAATCTCCATAGTGAGGTTCTGAATGCTGTATGTTATGTGTAGGGCAGGAATGATAGGCATGTTCTACGGTTGAGGTTAAAGATAAGTATATTATGTGGCCTTGGCCTTGTGTGTTTTCACAGAGTGATTCTGTCTTCCCAGAAAAGATGGTTGCCTTGCACATATTTATTTGTTAGTTAAGACTGGATACAGGGTCACTCAGAAATACATTTTTCTTGGGCCTTTTGGAGTGTATGCTTATTCAGATAGTGTTTTGGTTCTGCCCCACCTGAGTTTCTTTGTTTCTTGGATTCGGGGAGGGCCCTGAGTTTGTGCATGAGTCCTCTCTGGATGGCTCTGTGGTGTCATCTGCCTAGGTGCTGCTCCCTACAAGGGGATTATAAATCCTATTTGAGAAGTTCCTTTCCAAGGTCTCTCCTGCATCACAGGCCAAAGTTTCAGAGCTGAACTTGCCCACTTGTCATCAGGGCTCTCCCCACTCCATGGGCAGCTTGGTGCCACTGTCATCCGCCTGAAGAGCCCACTTCACAGAGAAGTTTCCTTCTCCCACAGCCTCCAGTGTGTGTCTGCCAAGTGATAGGATGGGCTGTCACGTTCTGAGCACTGGAGCTTCCTGCTGCCATGGGCCCAACTCTTAGTACAAATGAATAAAAGTGTTTGTATGTCATGTACCAAAGGTTTTGCCCTGGTTTCATTCAAGGTATATTCATGCTGTTGAGATTCTTGCCCCTTCTACCCAGCTGGCTACCAGTTCTTTTGTCTTCAAGGGCCAACAACACCCTTGAGTTTCTCTCCTAGCAGCTATTTCTGATGACAACCAGTATGGTGTTTTGACCCTCAAACACATGCTTTTTGTGAAATGACAAAAGAGGGATTCCAAGAGGCTTCCTTCGAAAGGTTATTCAGACTCCCAAGAGACATGATTTATTTCCTGTGAGTAAGGAGGCTGACAGGAGAGCATGAGATGCTCACAGTGTCTATCTTGACTAACTACTGACCTCTTCCTGAGCCCTCAGCCATTCTGTTGCTAAGTGAAGAAGAAGAGCATCTCCTCCTTGTCTTTGTCCATCATCGTGTGCTCAGACTCCTCCTTTATTTTGATGACTGGTGGACGGGAGCGGCATATCAATCTCCTGCCTCTCTGTAGGGGCAATAAACATGATAAGCCAGTGCTGGCTATGTAGATGCCATGCTGTCCACATTTCCTGCTATAAGGGTTAAGAAGTGGCCAGCAAAGCCTGGTCAGGCAGATCAGCCACTCAAGGGTGGTACTGACTAAAGGGACCTGGAGTATAGATCAGCCTAGCAGTCACCATTTCAGCTCCACGGAGCACATTTTTTGAAGGGCAAGAGCTAAAATATTTCCCAGCTCAGAGTTTCTACAGGAGACCCTGCAATGTGACAGAACACATTAGACATAGGCCTCTGAAAGTCAGTGATCATTCTTAATTGATCTTTTCGTGACAGATTTAAGCTGTCTGTTCTGTGTCCAACAACAGTCCTTGACTGATAGTCCTAACCAATACCTAGCTCCTGCATGCTCTTTGTCACAGACAACATGTTGAACTAAATCGTGTGATACAAAACTTTCTGCCAGCTCCCCCCCCCCCAAACTTAGCTATTTCCTTTGTTCTTGGATTTGCTTAGGGAGGTTCTCTCTCCCTTCAACTCTGCCCCTCAACCCCTCCTCTTAATGAAGCTCCACTCCAAGAAAGAAAAGCCTCCCCTCCCCACTAAAACCCTGTTAGGTTTAGACCTCCATATATTGTCCTGTTTGTGTCTAATGCTCTGCCTGCCATCTAAGTCCAGATCATGGCCTGGAAGCCCTTTCTCCTAATGAGCTGCATCTTCTGAAAGCCATTATGTGTCAGCTTTGTTTCTGGACTAGGTACTGGGCTATTTAGAAGTGTCTTATTATCAACAGAGCTCCTTTCCCAAGCAGTCAAATGGCCAGCCATGTATCATAGACACCTAGCTTCTCTGTCTCTCAGGAGCCGTGCTTGGCTCCAGGCCTGCTTTCAGGGCTAGACTTTATTCTGTCATATTCAAAAGGCACATGGCTGTCACAGTCCATTTTCTGTGAGGTGAGGGCTTGAGACCCAGAAGACACAGACCTAACAACAGACAGTTGTCTGACCTAGGGGGGGCTATTTGGTGGCTGGACAAAACAACAGGATCCTGAGACTGGGTATTGGTGTGAGTTCTGTGGCTGACTGCACTTGGTGGGTGTGTTGTGAATAGCACATCTCAAAGGACAGCTCTAGGGCAGGGGCACTAGAAGTGCCTGGCTTTGGAGACTGCTCCACTCCAGCTTGGCACTGCAAGCAACTGTCTGCTTCTTCAGCACAGTGATTTGCCTTCACGGAAGCCTTGGAGCTCAGGCTAGAGAGCTTAGGAGGTGCACCCTGGAGTGGCCCTGAGCCCACCCCTCACCTTCTTTTTTATTTCAGCTTGGGCCCTGGCTCGAGCCCGTTGCAGTCGCTCCTCCTGTAGCTCCTTCTGCATCCTGACCTTCTCTTCACGAATCCTGGAGACAAGAGGTGGTTTACAGGGACCAGAGCCTGAGAAGGAATCTCTCCTTTTCCCACCCAGGCTCCAGGTCAGCTCATGCCCTCCCACATGTAGAAAATGCCCCCTCTGCCCTTCCAAAACTTACAGGGAAAGGCAGATAGGGCTATGTAGACACCCTGCTGGCCTTGAGGGTGACCTAAGGTTCAGACCCCCCCCCCAGGAAGCATGCCTTTCTGGATCCACACTTGTGTCTTCAATCTCTGTACCCACAGTCCTACACCCTGGCATCCAGCTAGGACATTAGTCTTAGAGCAGGTGCTGGGGCCTCAGAGGAGATAGCCCCATGCTTAGGACAGACAGACTTGGCAGATAGTTGTGTCCCATGACCCCTGTCCTCTAGAACCCACAGAGGCCTGACCTCACATCACAGAGTCCTAAGCCTATCTCTGGTCAGGAGACTCATGAGGCTGGATACTGACTAGAGTGCTTTGCACACAAGCCAGGGCTACAGTCACAGGAGGTTGGGCACGGTGACTCACCTCATGCGCCGCTCCCTCTCCTTAGCCTTCTCAGCCTGCTCAATCTTGACCTGGGGTACCCGCTCCAGATTCTCTAGCAGCTCGTCCAGCTGGTGCTCCACCACAGTCAGCATCTGCACTGTGCCCAGGTTGGCCTCCTGCTGTGTGCCCACACACTTCCGGTACACATCCAGGACCTTGTGGTTCAGGCTCTCCAGCAGCATGTCCTGGGGACAGTCGGCCAGTGGTGTGGCATGGCAGCAGGCCCCTGCTCACCCTTACATGATCACCTGCCTACACCTTACCAGCCAGAATGGACCAACCACAGTGTGGACTTAAGAGATTGGGGTGGAGCAATGGTACCTGATTTTCTTAGCCAGAATAGCCCTGGTGCTCCTATGGTCAAGCCTGACATCTCATGTCCCAGCCCTTCCCCCAGCTTCCCTAGCAAGCCCATTGAAGCCCAGTCCCCTGTTTGAGGGACCACATTCTGTGAGACCCAGGATAGATGACTTCACCCCTCTCTGAGTCTACCTGACACTCAGAAAGCAGGCAGCAACTGCTGTGTGGTTGTTGAGTAGGTATTAATGATCAGCAGCAGATGAAAAGGCCTGGCCAGTGCCCAGTAGCTGGACCAGGCAGGCCACTGGCCTGGAGTCTGTCACACAAGGCACCGGGAAGTACTGGGAAGAACTAAAAGCTGAGTGAGGAAATCAGATGCCTGTGTTTGTGTGCTGAGCTCTTGGCCCTACCTGCTGGTCACCCTTATACTCCCCGAAGTGGAAGACTCGGGCTTTGAGCTGCAGCTCTGCGGCTGACTCCTCCTCCTTGGAGATTGACATCATTATGGTGGAGATCCACTGCTTCAGCATGTTGACCTCCCTGTCCCTGCAGGGTCAGATGGTTCCCTCAGCACCCGGGCTCTCACTAGGCAAGACCCAGTAGGCAGAGCCCTGTCCTGAGGACACAGGCCTAGAGAGTGGAGGCTCTGCCCACAGCGGTGGGACTCCAGTCTCCCACCCTTGGCACCTGATGCCAGTGGAAAAACCACTAATTAGTGTCTTGCCCTCAGCATCATTAGCTATTTGGATCTTGTGATGTTCCTTTCTATTCCTAATTTGTGACCCACGTTGTCATTTTACACAGGATTGGAGTTCCAACTTGTTTTCCTCTCCTTGAGGTCTTTGTATCTACAGTGATAAAACACCCTGTTTTGGACCCCTCTCTCCTGAGCTGGCTGGCTGGCTGGGCATCAAGGCCATGCTGGACCATCCCTCCTCTTCTGTCTTTTGGAGATGGCTGAGGAGTGTCGTCATTTCTCCCTTAAATGTGTGACTGTATGCTGTGTTTGTCTATTTGAGACAGGGGTCTCTCACTGCCTGGGGCTTGTCAATGAGCTAGGCCTGCTGGCCAGCAAGTCCCAGAAATCCCCTGCCCTTTCCTTCCCAAAACCATAGTTATAAATGCAAACCATGATGCCTAGCATAAACAGCATATATATATAGCCAATGTACATACATATATGGGGAGGAGGGAGAGAGTTCTGGGAATCAAACACAGGTCCTCCTCCTTGCAAGGTGCCACTTTACTAAGCCATCCCCTTGACCCTTTAAATGTTCTGTAGAGTTATCTGTCATCCAGCTGGATCTAAGGCTCTTTTGCTAAATGTATTATCCATTCAATTCCTTTAATCATTTTCTCTTTCTCACAAGCTGTTTTCTGATTTTCTTTTCCTAGGAAAGGATAGCTGAGTTCATGGGCTTTGACTAGGAAACCACATGTGGGTATTCCTGGGGACAGCTGTTGCCTGTCACCTGTGTCCAGCTAGGTGCATGGATGGCTTGCTGAGGGAGAGCAGGTCCTCTAGGATTCTGAGAGGTTCCTGGCTTCTCTCCACAGTATCCTTGTGCCTCCAGCCCTTACCAGGCTTCCAGAAAACAGTTTTGCTTAACATCTGGTAGTTCCACTTCATTCTGGAGGTAGCCATGCTGGATCAGTAAGGTGAGTTATAAGAAACATGGTTCCCTATCTGGACACTGAGTCTCAGCTGGCTCAAGGCCTATGCCCTGGCTGCTTCTGTTGTCTGAGCTGTCTGTCTTCCCTGGGCCTCTGGGTAGCTGGCTCATCCCTGTTTCCCGGCCGAGTCCTGGGCCACACACTGCTTTCTTTCCTGCCCCTCTCACTGATGTCACCTGCCCCTCACATTACTCACCTTCTCTTCTTCCTAGCATGTCCATTTCCTACCAGTCAATATATGTGTCTGTCTGCCATCCACTGCCATCCAATATAAGCTCCCGTGGGCAGGCCCAGCCTGATCCTTGCAGGCCTTGGGCCCACCCAGAAAAGTTGCTCAGAGTTTAGGGACTTGGAGGATGAGCCTAAACAATGCCCTCCACCCAGTACCCAGTCTTCCCTACTCAGCCCTCTTGGGCTCTGGAATAGACCAGCAGAAGAAACTGGGATGGGATGGCTGGTGGCCACACCTTATTGCAGGGATTATGGGTCTGAGCATCCAGTGAGCTCCAGGTGAGAATGAGGCTCCTGCCTCCCCTGCTGCCTTGAGGACTATATCTAGGGCCCTGGCTTTCCTTTGGGTATTCCCAGAGTCCCCTGGTCCTTTGCTGTGCTAGCCAGGCTTTGACAGCCTGTCTTCTCAGGCCCCAACCATCCCAGACTGGCCCTAGCCTCTCAGGCAGCCCTGTGCCTTCCCATACAGCTGCACCTCTGCTGTTTGGTGCCCACCGGAATGCAGCAGATCCCCACAAGGCAGGTCTTCCTTTCCTCACAGTCTGGGGGGCCAGGGATGTGTTGTGAGGACCTCTAATACTTCCCCATAACTGAAGTGTCTTGAAGACCAGCTTCCAGCACCTTCCAAACCATGCCCTTTGGTATGGTGGCCTTCCACCTGGCAGGGCAGGCTTCCCAGGGCCTGGGTTAATGGTAGAAGGGCTGAATGGGAGGTCTTCAGTGCTGCCTTCTGATTGAAGGAGGCTCCAAGGTCCTGGTATTTACCCAGAAGGGGACAGCTGATAGTGCAATGGGCTGGAGTGCCAAGGGGGTCAGCATGGCAACCTACATGCGGATCTGAGTGTTTTTCAGAGTGACATTCAGATCATCCAAGGTCTCCTCCATCTCCTGTGTGTTCTGAATCAGCGACAGGTTCTGTTCCTCTAGTTGTGTGAAAACATCCAAGAGCTGCTGGGGCTCAGTGAAGTACAGTGCCAGATCCTGTGAGGGGTGGGCAGAGGGTGCTGTATAGGACAGGGCCTGGTGGGCAGTGTCGAATACTTGATAGATGAGGGGATAAGAGGGGAGAGAGCCCAGCCACAGACCTCCCCATCGCTGTCAGTGTCTTCTTGTGACGGCACCGTAGAGCTTGACCTGAGGACAGACAGTGGGGTCAGAGCTCCTGAACCAGTCTAGGCCACAAATGGCTGGATGAGGGTGGGGGTGGTCAAAGGACTAAAGACATGGATGGAGTGTCCCCTCCCCACCCCATATTGGCCAGATGTAACACCAGGCCCCATCAAGGTCCCACATCCAGGAAACACTCAAAATTCAGTGATCAGTCTCCAATTAAAATAAGACCACCTTCTCCTGGTTCATTAGGTTACTCTACCTGATTTGTCAGCCCTCTCTCTGGGTGCAGGCCCTCACTTCCATTGTACCTACCTTCCTACTCACCATTCATTCACTGAGAGCCCCTCTGAAGTCACCTGGGTTGGGTCTGGTTATATGCCCCACTCACAGCCATTGGACATACCAAGCTCTTCCAAGCTGACTCCAAGCAGCACCACACAGGGCAGCGACTGTCCTGAGACAGCTCATAGGGGTACAAAGAGGCTGCATGGCCTCAGCACATGTTGGAGCCCTTCTCCACATGCTTCCCAGCCCTTCCCAGTGGTCCCCACCCACTACAGCTGGGCTGTGCTCAGGAGGTCCAGCTGTGTTACATAGTTGACAGGTGGGGCCAGCTTCCTGCCAGATGCCCAGGAATCTGAGGTGGAAATGGAGATACACTGGTGCAATAGCACTCTACGAGCAGAGAAAGTTGCCTGTGCCTCATGCCTGCACCTTCTGGGGCCTTGTTACAGAATATGGAGGTAGCACAGCTCAGCCACTGACTCAAGGTACTTCGGGAGCCTGCTGAGCCTGCTGCCTTTAATCCACCCTTCAAAGGGATATGGTCTTCTCACTTGTAACCTTGAGCAGCTCACAATCCATCCAATTGTGTTCACCAACTCCCAGCTTTTTGTTTTGTTTTGTGTTTCGAGGCAGGGTTTCTCTGTGTAGTCCTGGCTATCCTGGAATTTTCTCTGTAGACCAGGCTGACCTCTAACTCACCGAGATCCACCTGCTTCTGCCTCCTGAGTGCTGGGATTAAAGGCATGTGCCACCACCTTGCTGGCTCCCAGCTTCTTAAACTGTGGGTCCCAACCCTATGTGGGGTTGTATAGCTAAATGTGAGAATTTAGGGGGGGAAATGAGCACCAGTGAAAAGTCTCCTAACATGCAATGACCAGAAATTAATTAAAAGTCAAACAAACAAAGTATAACTAATCTGAGGTGTTTGGGACAGTGCTCACCCATGTTGTATTGTGAATTCACTGCAGACTTGGTTCTGAGCAAACACAAGTGCACTTTGCACTGTGCATGCTGTTAAACCGTATACCACCAATAATGCTGCCTGGAACACCTTGGCTCAGATCTGAGGTCCAGGCTCAAGACTACATTGCAAACTGCAGGGTTTTTACTGTGCATCCAAAGCTTCTGCTCTTATAGAAACATAATGTTTTAATTACAGAAAGCAAAAAGTGTTTTCCTATAATCATTCCTCAGCATGCATCAAATTATATCTTTGGGATGGCCCTAAGCATGCCTCTGACATTCTATGCTTATGCAAAATGGTACTCTCAGCATTAATGACTATAAAATCAAAAATTGATAAGCTGAAAAATACTGAAGACGCTCTGCATCAGGCAGTATTAACTATCCAGCCAAGATATGTAATTATTCATGTAATTATAAACAAGCACACCCATCTCATGCAAATTTGACTTTTCTTTTAATGGTGAAAGTGTATGTATATCAGAAAAGTTCTTTACATTCCTTTAGGATTTGTGATCAGTAGGTGTTCATTCAGTCTGTGTGCCTAGATTATAGACCATACACCCTGAGTAATATAAACTTGTCAGGTAAGAGGTCAAAGGAGGAAGCATTGTCCTTGCTGACAAGGAGAGGGACCAGGGTTCAATGCCAGGCCAGTGTGGTCAGGAGCTGTGTCCTCAGCTCTCCCAACACAGATTTCAGAGCTGAAATGACCTTGGTAGGTAGCTGGCATTGTACTCTGACCTCTTGGAGCCTCTGCACCAGACTCCCAGCCAGCATGACCACTCAACATGCATCCATGTCACTGACGGTGGCTAGTCCAAGATGCACAAAACCACCATGCACAAGAAGAAAAGATGTTTGCAAGCAGGGAAAACAGGAGTTTCCCACAGCCCAAAAAAGCATAATTGGGGAGTTGAGCAGCTGAGGGTATACTATGCAGACATTGGGAAAAGGGGTACAGTGTGCAGAACCAAGGAGGGGTCCAGATGGTCCTGGAGCAGGGGAAGACAAAAGATGGGGCATGGGAAGAGACAGCAGAGATTGGGATTGCTACCCATTTCTCATCCCAGATACCCACATCCACACCAATGCACTGACACTTGCAGCACAAAAGCAGAGTGCTTCAGGGCCAGCAGAGATCTCTCAAGAAAGAGTATGAGATGCACCTGCCATAAGTGGAAAGATTGGTAACACGCCATTATTAAAATTTTTCTCAAAAAGCAATACTGAAAATGTTATGTCAGGATACCACCAAGGTGTATGAAAAGCCAACAGAGGACTGACAGAGGGAACTAACTAGCCAATAGAAAGATGAGAAAACCAGGCCACCCAGTGCCAAGACAGGAATTTGTCATCAGGAAAATGTCACTAAAACACAGATACTACTTGGCCCAGCAGTGAGCCTGTAGGGTTTATCCCCCCAATATTCTGGGGCTCTGACATGTGGGGCCTTGCTGACCCTCCCAGGATAGCCTACAGACAGGAAAGGCTGCCCCTGTACAAGTCTGCCAGTGAGGAACAGCCCCTCCAGCCCCCCCCCCCACTCCTTATTATGTTGTCGCTCTGGGGCTACTGACTACCTCAGTCACACACATCAGGGCAAAAACCAGACCCTCAGCTGGTTTCCATCTCTCACCCTGCTCCAGAGCCACATGAGATTCCTAGCCTTCCCCTGTGACCCTGCCAGCCTGGCTGTCTCCTTTAGTGGCTTTTGCTTCCCCGTAGACCCTGGAGACCACTCACATCCTGGAGTCCAGCTCGCTGTACAGACTGGGCTGGCTGGCCTGACCAACCTGCGGGAGGCTCTGAGTGCTGGATGGGGCCTGCCCAAACCGTGAAACCTTTGAGGGCTTCTTCAAGCTCTGAACCTCTGGGAGGGAGAGAGAAAGTTTGTGTGTCCCTGGCATAAGGTGTGGGTCCCCTCTGCCTGGGGCAGCCATACCTTTCCACAGCAAAGCTGTCTTGCTCTTGTTGCCAGACCCTACAGGAAGCAAAAGAGAATCCCATATGACCACTGCTGTACCCACTGTGTGGTAATTCTCAGCCCAGGAGGAGGGGGGAGGGATGCTTGAGAGGAGAGCCCTTGATCCAACTGGAAAGCCCAATGTCCCTCTGTGGGAAGGCTCAGGCTGAGCTCCTGGGTGTTCAAAGTGGGTACTTCTATGTGTGGAGCTGGCCATGAAAGAAAGGACCAGATCGGGTGCCATACATACAGGGTCCCTTCAAGCTGGGCACAGGCTCTCTGAACCACTATCAGGGCCCACCCTTCTCTTGGCCCCACCTCTGTCCCCTAGTAAGGTGGCCATGCTGCTGTCCTTGATGAACTCCCCAGGCTCCTTGGCCTTTCTGAGAGCCAGGCGCTTCTCCTCCTGCTCATCCAGCCACTCCTTGGGTGACAGCTTATACAGGAAGTCCTTGTAGATCTTGTAATGTTGCAAAGTGTCTTCAAATTTAGAGATTTCGCTAGGCCCAGGGAGGGATGCAGAAAGTTAGACAGTGTCCACCACCAAGCCCTAGCTGGGAGCAGCTAGGAAAGGACCTTGCCCTGCAGGGACTTGAACACTCAGGATTTCCTGAGTTGTGACCCTCTGTGATCTACAGGGTCCTTATCCATGGGGTCTGCCTGCTGCTCTCAGCCTGGGCCACAATGGTCCTGTGTCCTGATGATGTGGCCTCAGGAAAGTCACTGAGTCTCAGATTCATCAACACCCATAAAACAGACCACAGCCTCCCATAGGGGTTCCGTCCTTGAGAGGCTTGGTGGTCCTAAGTGGCCCTTGGCTCCAGTGAAGCGACAGGATTCTACCTGTACTCTACCTTTTGATATTCATGATCTGGGCCGTGAGGTCCCGGATCTCAATAATCTTCTCCATCTTGATCTTGGTCTCTTTCTCCGCCCTGGGAAAGGGGGAACCAGGAGTCCAATCATGGATCATTAAAGATCAATCAGAAATGGATGAAGGCTGGCCTGGGCCTTGGGCACAGGCCAGGTGGGTAGCTAGTGGGGTAGCCAGGGGTCATGACTATAGGTTGAGATCAGGGCCTGGCTAGGGCTCAAGGTTCCAGGTCTGGGTAAGTTTGGACTGAACCTGGTCCAGAGTATGGGTTTTTATTGGCAAGGTCACAAGGGCCTGAAGGCTCACAGTTTCATGGCCTGTACTGAGCTACGGTCATTCTCCCTGAGGAACTCGTCAAACAATGTTGCATCCTTCTCCAGGAACTTCTCAGCCCTCTCCAGCCTGTTCTCCTCCCGGGTCGCCAGCATTTCTAGCCGCTGGATTTCATTGCGCTTCATTGCCACGGCATACTGTGGGCCAGCAGAGCAGGCATGAAGGCACATGGCTGGGCGAGAGCCAAGCTACAGACCAACTGCATATAACCATTCCCACCTGGAGGAGGAACATGCTTCGCTTCTGTTTCATGTAGTCATTCAATGTCTCAGGCTCCACATTCTTTTCTGCAATAAGACCCAGAAGGTGAGTAGGGGAGAGAGGCTGGAGTATCTGTGGGGTCTGTTCCCTTGGATTCAACCATCAGATCAGAAATATGTGGAAGAGAATCACATTTGCATTATAGGCAAACAGTATTCCTTTGTCACTACAAACAACTGTCTACATAGAATCCACAATGTACAGTCTATGGATGACTTAGAGAATACAAGGGAGCATAAATACAATTTGAGCATCACTGAGGGTTCTGATATCAAGGGGGCTCCAGGAAGTTGTTCCCTGGGATGCTGGGAGGTGACTGCTAGGCTCCTCATGGTTGGTGACTGTCTAGCTTGGACCTCTCATTTTAGTACCACCCACACACACACACACAACTCATGAGGTTGGCACAGAGGAGTCCATTGCTGGCCATGACCTATCAAATGCTGCAATGTGACCAAGATGATCAACATCTAGAAGGCAAATTTCAGATATGGCCTCCTCACTGTAGCTGAACTGCCTATTGACTGTGACTAGCTGATTGTTGGGTGGGCCTACGCTTCTGCATGCTGAACTTGCCTCTGCCTCTGCATACCATGCAGTCTCCATATGATCAGCATGTCCTGGAACTGTGGCCCAACAAGACAGAGCTCTTCAAGGTATGTGGTATCAGACACATAGAGGGCCTTTCTTAATCATCTCTTGTTCCTGCTTCTGCACAAGGTAAAGGTGCTGTATGTACCTTGGGTCATGGCCAGCTTCCAGGCAGTGTTGTTGCGGAAGGTGTGCAGCTGCCGGGCCTCGGCTATCAGCTCCTGATCTTCCATTTCCTCTTCTAGCTGTAGCTCCCGGCGCAGGCTAGTGTGCTTGGCAGACACCTTGGATGAATAGGTCATCTTCTGGTGCACCCTCAGCATCTTCTTTTGTTCACGTTCCTGGGGGAGTTGAGGGGAGGCAGGCAGTCAATGGTATCTGGACTCTTGTCAGATGCATGTCACCAGTCAGGCCCACACATATGGAAGACACACATACACAAACACACATGCACACACAACCTGTGCTGAGCACTCTGTTGGTGCTCTTAGAGAGACTGGGCTTTTGCACACAACCTCTAGGGTTGAACAGGACAATGACCACCTGAGGGTGGGACCTGGGAGGGGCAGTCATACCAAACACAGGTGCCAGTTCAATATGCAGCCAGATAACAAACAATATCAGCATGGTAAAAGATGACCATCTGTCCCTTTACCCAAAGCCCCCTTTAACTGAGACCAAGAATTTGATTTGCTAAAACTGGCAAAAAGGCTTAGGGAACTTGATCCTATTTCCAAAAGATTAGCAGTTCCTTCTGCAAGATGACCTATCACCTGGCTGGAAGATTACTGGTGGCTGGCTGTCCCCACTGCTCTGCACCTCTGTGCTACTCACAGTGATATACTGATCCATCCCAGGATGACAGGGGAGGGGGGACACTCCCTGACTATAGCATCTGTCAAACCCAAGTGCTGTCTAGCATTGTGGCCTTGCACTGGTCTCCTCATCAGTTTGTTTTCTGCTGGGACCCACTGTGTAGGGAGAATATGTGTAGGGACTCTCCGGGTAGAATGTATATGTGGGGACTCTCTAGGTAGGGAAGAGTGGCTGGGAGGAGAAGGTATAAATTGGACATCTTCAAGGAGGAAGTTAGAGATGTCTCAAGGCAAAAGGGCATCATGCAATTGTAGTGGACATATTGCAGAAGGTACTGCCAGGCTTGGATATAGAAATGCTAAGTACTGCATTCAAGAAGAGGAAGGCCCCAGGTGAAGTCCAGAGAGAAGGTTCTTCATCCCTTCTCTATGGCTGAGCATAGAGCCCCAAGCTATCAGGTATCATTCTGGACCTGGGCATGGGTCCAGAGGCTGAAGGATGTCTTTCACCCAGTGCTTCTCTGATGCTGCCATGGGGCCAGGTCAGGCCAGAAGAAAGGAGGGGTGCAGCAGGTAGGAGAAGGGTGCAGCAGGTTGGGGAGGGGTGCAGCAGGTTGGGGAGGGGTGCAGCAGGCGGGGGAGGGGTGCAGCAGGCGGGGGAGGGGTGCAGTAGGCGGGGGAGGGGTGCAGCAGGCGGGGGAGGGTGCAGCAGACTGCATTGTCTGGGCTTGTTCTGCTGTTCTATGCCAGGGCTGCGAGATCCAGTGCTGCCCTGGCTCCAGGTCACATGGCTAAAACAAGAGGCAACAAGCTGGGGTGCAGGTAAAAAACAGGGTTTTGGAGCACTCTCTGTGGGATTCCAACCAGGGGAGAGGTCCTGTGAGGTGTGAGACAGGCCTTGAAGGACAAGAATAATTCTGGGAGAGAACAGCATTCCGATCAGGAGAGTGGAAGAGGTAGATTGCCACAGCAGCTGCGGAAGCCATCAGACTAAGGCCCAGAGACAATGACAATGGAGTCATGGGACAGTAGTGAGAGCCAGGCAGGGTCTGCACTGGAGTTTGTAGGAAAAGTGAGCCAATGACTGCAGGATGGAAAGTGAGTTGAGGGAAACATTTAGCTGAGACAGGAACAGAGCAGGAAAGCTTCTCAAGAGAGGCTGTCCCAGGCCCAGATACTTACTGCAATGGCTTTACTCCGCTCCTGCTCTCTGTACAAGAAGAAATCCACATCCCCTGACATGTGGAAAGGATTACTTGAGGGGTCAGATATAGACACATGCCCTGGAAAAGGAAAAATTAGCCTATGTCTCAAGGGTCCCTGGAGTGCTCTATCTAGCCACACTTGAAGTCTTCTCCTGGGTCCTTAAGTCCCATAAACTTTCCTCTGTGGGTTAATCTGGGGAGGGATTGGCATCTGTCCCATCCATCTGCATCCATCCTGGTGTGAAAATCCCAGCCAGGCTCCTTTCACACCTGAGGGAAGTCAGAGCCTCCTCCCCAAAAGTGATGGTACTGAACAGGAGAAGTGGGGTGCAGGCCAGGCCAACTCCTGGAGGCCCCAAAGAGACAGACAGAAATCCATCTAGGGATCTAGGAGCAGGCTCTGAGTTAGGGCTCATGCTGGTCTACTCTGTGAACCTCAGGTCATGCCTTTCCGTACTACACTGATACAGGTCCTAGCATGGACAACTAGTGTTAAGGGTGTGAACAGCACACAGGGTCCCCATCACATGAAACCCTAGGACAGCTCTGGAAGGCAAGGGGATAGTGTGGTAACGGCTATTAGAGAGCTCTGGGAGAGGAAGGGTAGCTATGTCTGCTTTAAAAGACCTCTGGTCCACATTTATGACCACACAGAGTTTTGGTCAATGGACTGTGAGCCAGAACTGTCGGATGGGCTCCTGGGATGGCCCTTTCCTTCATGGCTGAGGTAATGAGAGGGTGGTGTTTATAGTGTTTATAGGGGACTGTCTTGATTATGTTGATGTGGGCAGACTCAGCCCACCATGGGCAGCACTGTTCCTTGGGGTGGGGACCTGGTCTGAACAAGAGTGGAGAAGGTGCCCTGAGCACCAGGCTTGCTTGGGTTCCTTTCTTCCTGCCTTGAATGAGACACAGATGAGCACACCAGCTCTTCCATGACCACCAGACAATCTTGCATTTGAAAATTCTGGTGAGACAGAAAGACTTAGGACCTGGTCACCCAGATGCCTTCTCGGGATTTTCCCTACAACCCCCTTGTGTTTCTGTTGAGTTCTGTCCAACAGGAAGAGAAACAACCTCTCCACCCTGCAGGCCAGCTGGACACACCCATAGGAAAGGAGCCAGGCTTTGCCCCTACCCTGTTTAGGAAACTACCTGTACCTTTCTTTGGATGTTTCTTATTGTCTTCAAGGAAGGAAGAGGAGCTGTTGTTTATGAACTCCAGGCTGCTTCCTGGTGAGACACAAAAGCAATAACCTGTCCCACCCTGAGAGCTGTGAACACACAGCAAGGATTGTGCTGGGCTTCAGACACACAGGGTGCCAACTTAGCCTCCTCTCAGAGCCTCCAGGTCTACAAGTGAGATGAGGATGCTGACTTGACTGTGTGAGGAAATGGCCATGAGCATCCCTTCCCTGAGAAGTGGAAGGAGGCAGCTGCTTCAAGCCTTCCCTTCCCTTAGCTTCCTTAATATCTCCCTGTAAGCAACAGGCCCGACTCATCCCATGGCAGATTGGAAATGTCAATATCCCATTCCTTGGGTAGCCCCACCCTCTTCCACCTGAAAAGGGTTCTGCTAACCTGTGATCAAGAAATCTAAGGGCCAGCCAGGTAGGTCCCTGAGGCAGGTTCCTCTTTCTTCCGATGACTTTAGGCATTGAGTCCAGCTGCTTTACTGACCTTATCACCTGACACCCACAGGAAAGAGCCTTGTGGCCCTTCCCAAGACAGTCAGGACTCCATCCAGCAGGGGAACCAGAAGAGAGCAGAACTGAACTGTGCCAGTAAGTCAGGGATGGCTGTGGTCCCCAGTGGGCCCCGGGGATGGAGGAAGTCCTAGGTGGAAGGGTAAAGGTGAGCAGAGCCCTGGAGGCCCAGAAAGCATGTCTTCAGGAAGACTCAACCTGAAGCAAAGGGTAGGGCAGCTGGGAAGTGAGGCATTCTAGGCTTCCCAGAGCTTCCTCCTGCTGAGTTATCCTGTTCCCTAGAGTCTATGCGAAACTTCCCTGGTACTGAAATTTAATTATCCCATCATAAAAATTAGAAGATACTAGAAATTAAACACAAACACAACAAAGTCTAATAAATAGATCAGAACCAAAACCAAGTCAAAATTGTACTTCAAATCTCCATTCTTAATTTTTTAAAAAGGTACATGTATTGTCAAAAGTTTTCAATTTTGTGGTATGAGAACCATCCTCACCCATTCTTTATGCTCAACAGAGGATGTTTTTCACCTTGAGAAAGTCTCTGTCCTAGGATGGCATCAGACCTATTATCCTCTTGCCTCAGCCTCACAAGTTCTGTATCTCTAGTTTATCTAGGTGTAACTAGGTAACACTAGTGTTCCACTGAGGGCACAAAATACCCAAACACATAAATAATTGTTTTTAAAGATGTTCTGTAAGGATGAAAAAATTTAGCCTAACACTCCCTAGACTCTGCCCCCTAGCAGTGAGTAGGCAAAAGGTCACATTCTTGACTGTTACACGACAGGGCTGTTTACAACAGCACCTGTGAATGAATGAACAGGAAATGAGCTTTGTCCCACCACCCAGAAGCCCTAGCGAAAGCAGACTTCCTGGGCTAAGCGCGGGCTTGGATAGTTCAAATTGATTGGTCCGCACTATGATAATTGGCTTATGATGTGCGGGCTTTGTTGTAACCCTCTAAAAACTGTCTAAACCCTGTACCCAGGGTCCCAGTCCCCTACTTCCATGTGGAATATGGCTGTGGACCCCAGTGCACTGGAATATAAAAGACCTCATGCTTTTGCATCAAGACCGCTTCTCATGAGTGATTTGGGGGGGGCACCTTTCCAGAGTTGGGGTGTGAGGGTCCATGCCCTCCGTGGGTCTTTCAGTTCCAGAGTACATGATTTTGAGAGGAGAAGGGAAGGGTACATCAGAGATGAGTACGATCAAAATACATCTTCATAAATTCTCAAAGAATTAGCTGGGAGGTGGTGGCAAACACCTTTGATCCCAGCACTCAGGAGGCAGAGGCAGGCAGATCTCACTGAATTTGAGGCTAGCCTGATCTACAGAGTGAGTTCCAGGACAGGCTCCAAAACAATACAAAGAAACCCTGTCTCAAAACACCAAAACAAAACAAAAAAAAACCTCTCAAAGAATTAAAAAAAAATGTTTTAAGGATTTCAGAGATCCCTGCCCTTTGCCACCTGTAACTCCAGCTCTAAGGGAAACCCTCTTCTGGCCTCCCAGACACCTGCAAGCATGTGACAAAAACATTTATACATAAATAAAAGAAATATTTTTAAAAGCAAAATATATTTTTGCATGCACAGACCCCTCTTGCTTTTTCACTGTGTGTGTGTGTGTGTGTGTGTGTGTGTGTGTGTGTGTGTGTGTGTGTGTGTGTGTGCAGCATAGCTGAATCTTGAGGACCTGATGCTAAATGGAAAAGCTTGTCATAAATGTAGCCAGCCTCCATGATGGATGGCATGAATTCAGGTCAGGTGCCAGTATCGCTTCAGAACTGTCATCAGTACTCCAGATGGATAGCAACTGTGTTGAATCTTTGTTTCTAAGGAACATTCTAGCACCCACCAACTCAAGGTGAACAACGATGTAAGACAGCCAACTCCCATAGCAGACTTCCTCGTCTGCCCACAACTGCAACCCCCTACACACTCTTCCAAGTTATTATTCCTTGCACTGATTTCTGATTCATTTTGCTATAGAATGTTCATGTGAGCTGGGGATGGTGGCACACACTGTTGTCCCCATCACTTGGGAGGCAAGGGCAGGCAGTTCAGAGCCAGACTGATCTACAAAGAGAGAAACTAGCCAGTTAAAACCCTATCTTAAACAAAAATGTTCATGTAACTGCTTTCATGGTAGAATTTGGATGTCATGTTTCTTTTGCTGTGATGAAACACCATGACCAAAGTAACTTTGGAAGAAAAGGTTCATTTCACTCACAGCTCCACATCATAGTCCATCAAGGAAGAAAGTCAGCACAGGAACTTGAACAAGGCAGGAACCTGGAGGCAGTAGCTGATGAGTTAGTGAGTAAAGGACCTAGATGTCCCTCACCTGAAGAATACATAGAGAAAATGTGGTACATTTACACAATGGAGGATTCCTCAGCCAGGAGGGGGACGGCAAAAAAACATTTTGATTTTGGGGCAAATGGACAGAACTAGGAAAAAAAATCATCCTAACTGAAGTAACCAAGACCCAGAAAGACAAACACAATATTTAGTGGATATTAGATATAAAGAAAAGGACAACCAGGCTACAATCCATAACCCTTGAGAAGCTAGGTAACAAGGAAGGAGAACCCTTGATAGGGGGAGCCATTATGGGGTTAAGGAGAAATCTGGTACTAGGGAAACTCCCAGGAATTCACAAGGACAACAGCAGTTAAGACTCCTAGCAATAGTGGAGAGGGTGCCTGAACTGACCTTCCCTTGTAATCAGATTGATGAATACCCTAATTGTCATCATAGCTCATCCAGTAACTGATGAAAGCAGATAAAGAGATCCACAGCTAAGCACTGGACCAAGCTCCTGGAGACCAAAGAGAGGAATTATATGAGCAAAGGGGTCAAGATCATAATGGGGAAACCCACAGAGACAGCTGACCTGAGCTAGTGGGAGCTCACTAACTCTGGGCTGATAGCTAGGGAACCTGCATAGGACCAAACTAGGCTCTCTGAATGTGGGTGACAGTTATGTGGCTTGAGCAGTCTGTGGGACCACTGGCAGTGGGACCAGGATTTGTCCCTAGTGCATGAACTGACATTTTAGAGCCCATTCCCTATGGAGGGATACTTTGCTCTGCCTCACTACAAAGGGGAGGAGCTTGGTCCTGACTCAACTTGATATGGCAGACTTTGTTGATTCCCTGTGAAAGGTCTTACTGTTACTGAGGAGTGGATGGGGATTGGGTGGGGGAGGAGGGGAGGAAGAGGGAACTGTAGTTGATATGTAAAATGAAAAAAAAACTTTTAAATATTTTTTAAAATTAACTAGTAACAAGCCTGAGCTATCGGCCAAGCATTTATAATTAATAAGTCTCAGATGGTTATTTGGGAACTGGCTGGAGGGAGAAAAAAAGTCCGCCTACATAA